TTATTGTCCGGACAGGCCCTAGACCCGGGCTACTTGGACTGGTACCGGCTTACCTCTAGCCTACCGCTACTGGGCCTCTAAAAATGCCAACTTTTGTCTTCTTCTGCTCGGCCTACCTGATACTTGAGTGTTTTTCCCCAGCTGCTCTAAGTGCCGTGGGCCTACCCCCGCTACCTGCGTGTTAACCCCCCCTGCAACCCTTCAAAGTCACGGTCACAGGTAAGTACCGGCCCTGCGGGGCCTTGCAACCAACAGGTACCCTTACGGGTCACACACACACTCAACCGTCAAGCACTCAGACAGGCAAGCAAACGGGCAGGCATGCACACACACACACACAGACTTGGAAAACACAGCAGAATGCGGGAATCACGGCAAGGCATTCATTCCAGTGGCAAATCCCAAAAATCAGCAGTGTTCTCAGTCTGTGCTTTGGCGGTTCATTACACATTAGTTTTCTAGAGATACCGAATTCCTGTCCTAGCTCACTAGCCTTGACCCAGACACGTTCCCCTACCTGAAATGAGGACTATCGTCGATGCTTGTTCTCAGAAGCATTCATTGCTTGCTGAGCTTTCTTAATATGCTCGACAGCTTGCTGCAGCAACTTCTCATACTGCACACCATACTCAGGTGTGCCCGGAGTTGCAGAAGATCGGTTTTCAGGTAGGAGGAAGTCTAGAGCAGATCTAGGCTTCCATCCCAAGTGCAGCTTGTTAGGACTAACGCCGGTACTACTGTGCACAGCGTTGTTGTACAGGCTGGCGATGAGAGGTAACTTCTCATCCCAATCATCCTGGCTGGGCTTGATGTAATGCCTCAGCAAGTGTTGTACAACTCTATTAATTTGCTCGGCCTGTCCGTTGGCTTCGGGATGATTCCCTGAAGTCGTCTGGAAGTTGACTGCCCATCTGCTCAGCAGTCTTCTTCCACAGCTCACTTGTGAAACGGACATCTCTGTCACTAACGATTGTCTTTGGTAAACCAAAGTCACGCACCCAGTTGTCCTGGAACAACTTGATGACATGGTCCGTCCTTGCGGTCTCTGGCATGGCAAATAGTCTAGCGTACTTGGTGAATCGATCAATGATGACAAAGATGTGCCTCTTACCACTCTTGCTGGTCACCAGGGTATCCATGAAATCCATGGAAACACTATCCTGGACCAGCGGGGATAGGTAAGGGCTTCAGCAACCCAAGCGGTGCTTGAGTTCGCGGCTTGTCCCGCTGATAGACCTGACAGGTCTCTACATACTTCTTCGTGTCATCTAGCATTCCAGGCCACCAAATTCGTTGTACTAGATTAGCACTCGTCTTTTTGTAACCAAAGTGCCCGGTTGCGTCATGGCATTCTCCTAAAAACAAACTACGCAAACGTTCACTAGATGGAACTACTAGCCTTTTAACACCGGCCTTATCAAGATAGAGTAGCCCGTCCACCATCACAAACTCACTTTTCGTGGCCTTGTCTTTTGCCTGAACGCACCCTCGCACTCATCACTCCAGTCCCACGGCGTGTCAAGTCGAGTTAGATCCGTCAAAGGAGAGGCGACTGTAGAATAGTTCTTTACGAAATTTCCTACAGAAGCCGCTCATCCCTAAGAAAGATCTAACCTCAGTCACCCTCTAAGGACGTGGCCAGTCCCTAATACTAGCCACTTAGAGGCTCTGCGTTCTTCACTGTGATGGCTTTGAGGCCTCTATAGTCAAAGCGCATCCTCAAACTTCCTCCCTTCTTCGTTACAGACAACACTGGGGATCCGAAGGGAGAAGTACTTAGGCCGTATACATCCCTTTTCTGTCAGCTCCTTCAGTTGTCGATAGAGTTCGTCCCTCTCGGTCGGGGCCATCCTATACTTTCTTCCCTTTTTGGGGTTTTACTCCCTGGAATTATTTCTAGGGCGTGGACTATCTCCCTTTCAACGACTCGTGGGGTTCTTGAACAGATCGGGGGACTTAGCGACGATATGCTCTATCTCTGGGGGTGTTTTAACGACTTCCCCTTTCTCAGAGACGTAGACTAGGTACATACCCTCCTCTTGGTCTTGTTTATAGTATTTGTAGAACTTTGTTGTACATAAGCACGTTTAGGACTCAAACAACCTACTAGCCTTACACTTAGCTAGTTTAATGGTTCTCCTATCAGGCAACTCATGCTTCAACATTTTCTTGTCCCAATCCAACTGGGGCTTGACAGCCTTAAGGTAGTACATTCCTAAGAGCATGTCAAATGGCAACTCGTCATTAATCTGGAATGAAATCCTATGATTAAGTTCCCCTCCTCCAAAAGAGAAGGTCCAGACTATGTCCTTGACATAGTCTTTCACTCACTACTAAGCGCTCGTCGTTGGCCAAAGTAGATGCTACCGGTCTACTAAGGTGCTGTACCTGGTCCTGTGGGCGCAGCCTTTCCAAACAGTCAGAGCTTATGTAGTTCCGTGTGGAGCCGATGTCAACGAAGGCACCACTTTTGCGGCCTCCTACACCAACTTCCACACAAACTAGGACCACAACTTTGTGCCACCCAGGATTCTCTAGGGTCCCTGTCTGACCACTC